CCAGGGAAGCCCCGTTTATCTCATTTAATTCATGAGCTATAGGAATTATTATCATCTCCATTTGATAGATGAGGAATCTAAAGTCCATGGATGTTAAGTGCCATGAGCAGTCAAGCGCTGGGAAGCTGGAGCACCGGGGTTTGATGGGCCCCATCTGATACACATGCAGAATCGGATGCTTCAGGATTATGTGTGTAAAGGACTCGGTGCAGGGCTGGTTATACGTTAGGCATTTGATAAATGACAGTTACTGTGGTGATGAAAATCGCTGAGAAATTTGGCCCTTTCTCCGCTGATAAATTCTTCCTTCGTTTAAGCCAGTACTCAAACCGAACTTACAGAGGGCAAGTCCTTCCAGGGTTTTGGCCGCTACAATAAGAAGTCATCATAAATTAATGGTGTAATACATTCTTGTTTTGCATCGGTGGAAAATACCCGTGTCAAAATATGACAAGTGAGGACCCTACTTGTTAGAGAATCTAAGTGAATTTTTATACATAATTAGCTTCTCTTTTCTCAGTAACACTCTCCTTTCCTTCCCCCAAATCTAGAATCAATCCGTCTTTTTGTATTTGAAGACCAATTCTGTTCTGTTTTCCACCATATCTGTTAACTGCCGGCAGACATCAGCAACGTTCTGTTCCCTTTACTAGTAAGTCTCTTTTCAGGTCCTAAAATTCATCAGACAGTCGTAAGAAACCTACCTTGTCTCCTGAGGAGAAAGCACAGTTCTCATTCATTCATTTAGTAAACAGTTTTTGAGTTTCTGCCGTACAGCCACCCTGTGCTTGCTATTGAGAAGCATCAAATAATAATCCCATTTTTCCCCATTTCTGATGAAAACTTCTTTGGTCCTGAGTCTGTCTCTCTCCACAGTTGTTTCTTCCCCAAGGCATTACCCAATCTTTCCTTTCATGTGCACGGTTACATGATAGGTGTTTATAGCAGGGCAGGACAAAATGTATTTCATGGGAAAAGAAACACATTTCTCTGTTGAAGTCCTCAGAGAGCTAATTATAGTTTATGATTCTAAAAGGCAACTTTAAATTCACAACTGTTGGCAGTTTCGGTAGATTCCAGTTCACTAAATGGCTTAGCATTTGTGTCATTGAAAATACAAAAGGAAAACAGCAATAGACTTTTTGACACATCATGTATTTTAAAACAAACTGATAATTTTGTAGTCTATGTAGTTGTGCAAAGAAATAGAAGCTTCTTATACACTAGAAGGCTTAGAGGAGCTTCACAGAACCCTTAATGATGTTTTCATTCTTCTTCTTGACACTAAAGGAGAAAACATTGCCAACCCTGAGTCTTATGGAGGTAATACAGAGCTGAATTTCAGACACTAATACATTTAATTCTGGACTTAGAGGTGTAAATCCTACTTTATTTTTCTGTGACATTTAAAAAGTATTTTTAAGTAGCCAAATAAACACAGTAACTATAGAAAATTAGGAAATATCCATTGTTAACATTATTGTTATATGTACTTCCAGATTTTTTCTATGCCCATGAATGTGTGCATAACATATACTTTATGTGGATATAAATGACTGTATTATTTTATTTTTACAAAAACTGAATTATACATACCCTTTGGTAAGCTGCTTTCTTTTTCACTTGACAGAATATTATTTTGACCCTACCTTTAAATAAGGGCAAAGAAAATTGCACAGTTTCCCCCTTTTACTGCAAAACCACCTTCACCATTAGATAGTTCTTTTTTTTTTTAAAAGTAAACTTCTGTCCCACCATGCAGCTAAAGTCTTATTTCTTTGTATACCGTTATTAATGAAGCTGAAGAATAACTCTCACTATATTACATGTAAATGTAATTCAACATTTTAGAACTGTAAGATGTGGGACATACTGCAGAAGGATATGGATCTGTTCTCAGGGCATTTAAGGTAAATGAGGAATAAAAACAACAAAAACCATACAGAATATCTCACTGCAAGGCAGAGTCAGGAGATGCAAACAAAATGATGGGATTCTGGGTGAGACAGCATTCTAGGCAGGAGCTGGGGGATTTCATGAAGGGGTGTATCTGAGGTGGGTTTTTTTTTATATAAATTTGTTTTATTTATTTATTTTTGGCTGCATTGGGTCTTCGTTGCTCGTGTGGGCTTTCTGTAGTTGCAGTGAGCGGGGGCTACTCTTTGTTGTGGAACACGGGCTTCTCATCACAGTGGCTTCTCTTGTTGCGGAGCACAGGCTCTAGGTGCGTGGGCTTCAGTAGTTGTGGCTCGCGGGCTCAGTAGTTGTGGCTTGTGGACTCTAGAGAGCAGGCTCAGTAGTTGTGGCTCACGGGCTTAGTTGCTCCGCGGCATGTGGGATCTTCCAGGACCAGGGCTCAAACCCGTGTCCCCTGCATTGGCAGGCGGATTCTTAACCACTGCGCCACCAGGGAAGCCCTGAGGTGGGTTTTATAGAATGGATGACGTTCAGTAGCTGAAGGGAAGTCCAGTTAGAGGAAGTCCAGTGAAAGGGAGAAAGAAGAGAGATCGATAACTGATCAGAGAGAAAATACCAGAAAAGGCATGGAGGGAATCTTTGTTAATTTCCACCTATGCAACTGACAAAGATTTTTTAAAGTAATATTTGGTGCTGATAAAAGTGAAGTGAGATAAGCACCATCACTATGCTCTGTTTGGAGTATAAATTGGTACAGCATTTATTTCTGGAAAGCAATTTAGCGTATATGCATTGATAGCCTAAAAATGCTCGTAACTTTTGGCCCAATAATCCCATTACTGGTGAGATGGTTAAAGATGTGCCCCAAATTTTTATATGTAAGGATCTGCATCAAATTGTTCCTCATAGTCATGAAAATATGGGAAAACCCTAAATGTTCAAGTGTATACAAAATTCACAATTGTATATAATTTTTAAGTGTTCTACACTGAGCTTATATTAGTTTTTTTCTTTTCATTTAATTAACCTTTGAAAAAAAGGAGAATACAGGTTGTCTGTTCAGGGAACTGAGTAGTCCCCCTTCTCTGGAGCCCAGATTATATATTCAAGGAATTCACGGGGAATAGTAAGAGAGGTGTGGAGAGCTTCCAGGGGAGGCTGGGACCCTGGTAACTGGTTGGATAGAGAGAAGAAGTCTGTAAGGATGCTGGGGAACTGCGAGTGTAAATAGGGGACTTGAGGTGCTTTGGGTGCATAGTGGGAGAAATTTAAGTACTGGTTCGGGTCCTTTGAGTTGGAGATGTCTTCTGAACATCAAGAGGAGCTTTCCAGTAGTCAATTCTGGAGCCCAAGTGAGTGGGCAGGGCTGACCATTCATTTATTCATTCACTCATTCAGGCCACGTTGGTTAAGCATTTACTATATGCCGAGGGCTGTACTGGGTCCTGCAGATGCAAAAAGAAAGGGTCTTCTATTCTAGTGGGAGAGTTTTGTAGAGGTTGTTGGGAGTGGAGAAGGTGACCAAAGGGAGAGAATGTGGAAGGGGAAAACTTCGGGCTGAGAACAGGGCTAGAGCGCTTCCTTGGAACTCCCAAGGACTCAGCAATGAGACAGGCTGGGATCTTAGCATATCAGGCTGACAAGAGAAGGGATGTGTCCAGGACATGGTAGGGTATATGCCTGGGGATATGGGGCTTGGCTTTCAGAAGGAACCTTCAGGGAAAACACAGCCTGCAGGGCAATAGACAGTGTCCAAAGGGGCAAAAGAGTCTTGGGCCCAGTTCCAGACGCAGCCAAATCCAAGGGGAGCTGGTGTGATGGGGGCGTCAGCAGCAGCAGGAGGTCTGGGTGATCCTCAAAGGCAGGTGGGGATCTGCTTCTCTGGACTTTTCTACCCCATCAGAACTGGACTCTGGCCCACAGTTGCGGTGCAGGGAACTGGGTCCAGTCTCTACAGGGTTTGGCAAGAACTAGGCTGGGTCAGATGCTGCTCAAAGCCAAAGAAGGTGAAGATTAAGAACGTGATGAGGCATTGGAAGCAACAGGTTTTGAATTCTCCTTCTAGAAGTTTAATAGTAAATTGGGGCTTCCCTGGCGGGTGGTTCAGACTCCACGCTTCCACTGCAGCGGCCACGGGTTCGATCCCTGCTCAGGGAACTAAGATCCCACGTGCCATGTGGTGTGGCCAAAAGAATAATAATAAATAGATACATTTTATAAAAACAGTAAATTAGAGTTAAGAGAAAGTCACTTCAGTGAGCTATGGAGCCAGAGGAGGGCAGTTTGAGGTTCTTTTTTTTTTTTTTTTTTTTTTTGTTGTGGGCGGGGCGCCTCTCTTTGTTGTGGGCTCTCCCGTTGCGGAGCACAGGCTCCGGACGTGCAGGCTCAGCGGCCATGGCTCACGGGCCTAGCCGCTCCGCGGCATGTGGGATCCTCCTGGACCAGGGCACGAACCCGCGTCCCCTGCATCGGCAGGCGGACTCTCAACCACTGCGCCACCAGGGAAGCCCCTCTTATTTTTTATCATAGAGGAGCCCTGTACATATTTGTAGATGAAGGAAAGAGAGTCAGTAGAGTTGGGTGGCTGGAGATGAGGGGAAGGCAAGGAGATATTTGATGAAACAAATCATGGGGAAAGAAGTAAGGGGTGGGCTCAAAGGCATAAGTGAAGCTTGGCAAAGAGGAGGGTCACTCCACTGCTAAGCCTTCTCTGTGCTAAACAATATATTTATTAATGTAATACATTGTTTTAGTTATCATAGAAATACACCACCACTAGAGAAAGTTTGGAAAATAGAAACATAATCCTACCACATTAACCACAACAGCTATTATTATTTTTGTACATTTCCTTCCATAGTAATATTAACAGAGACTTTTTCCATAGCTGTAATGAGTACATAAATTCCTCACATTTTGCGTTTTCCACTTAATGCGAGAGCACAGGCGTTTTCTAGGTTGCTACGTAGTCTTCGTAATTACTTAAATAACATCCCATCAAGTAGCACAATAATTTATTCCACTAGTCCCCTAACTTTTTAAACTGTTTTTTAAAAAAATGGATAATATGAATAAATTCATTAAAGTGTTCGTGTATATACATATTCTAGATGATCTCCTTAGGCTGGATTCTCAGAAGTTATATTAGTAGACCAAAGAGAATGAACATAATTTTCACGGCTCTTGTTATCTTTTACTGTGTGCTTGCCTCAAAATTGCTGGTTCTCAATTTTACAGTCAGCAAAGTGAGTCCCTTTTTCTGAATTCTTTACTTTCCTAAATTGGGAAGTCCACATGGCTCAGTGTAGAAAAGGTCATCATAACCTCCCAGAATTTTCCAAGCCAGTGATCTCTAGTGTCACCTTTGGCTGTTAATGTCCCCGGTCAGAGGGGTCAGGAGACCCAGTGCTGTTGCATATTTTAAGTTGCTTGGGTTGCCATGCTGTACAGACCCTGCTTACAATCTTACTATAACTGGTTTGCCTCTTACCTACTAACCTCTGACCTACTCACGACTTACCTACTAACTTCACCCTCCTGCTAACATGCTGCCGGGTACTGCATGAGGCCAAAGGTTACCGATGGGGAAGGTTGTCCTTCCTCCGCGCTGGGGCTGCTCTTGCTGAGGCTGAGCTCAAAGCCACCCACTCGTCCCACCTGCTGCACACCTCAGGGTGTTGGCTCCACTTTAAAGGCAGCCCCATGGGTGAAGAAAACCAGAGATAAAGGTAAAGACATGATAAGGTGGCCATAAATCTAAAAAGTATGTTTTCTGGCATTATCAATTATCACTCATTTTCAAATACGCATATGGAGTGGATATTCCAGTTTGGGGTGTGTGTGTATTTTTTTTTTTTAAAAAGACCTTTTAAAGAATTGTGCAATCCTTTACTTTACACCCTCACATGCTGTGCTTGGCATTAAAAAGCTGTCGGGGCTGACTTGTAACTTGGAAGGGGGCAGGGTGGAGAGTCCGACAGCCCTGGACTGGCAGTTTGCCCACGGAGAAAGCCCTGCTCCTCGGGGCCCTCGTCTGGCCAGCAGTCTCACAGATGCACAGCCTGGGCGACAGAGAGTCTCAGAAAGAAAGGAAAACTGGCTTTATAAAATCTTGCCACCGCTTCCGCAAAGCAGCCATCCTTGGCCATAAAGAAGAACACGTTATTGGTGAGTATGTAGAAATGAGTGTCCTGAAATATCTCTGTAAGATGCGCTGTTGTACTTACACTGACGCCATGAACCTTTCTGCGGGAAAGTAGAGCACGGAAGAGATGAGCGTGCCTCTTGGGCCTCTTGCTGACACGTGGACCATATCATTTGTCCCCGCAGATATAAGCAAGGATGCGTCCTGTGCGGAAAACTGTACCTGTTCGTCCTGCTTGCTCCTGGCCCCCACCATCAGCGACTTGCTCAATGACCAGGACTTACTAGACGTGATCAGGATAAAGTTGGATCCCTGTCACCCAACAGTCAAAAACTGGAGGAATTTCGCAAGCAAGTGGGGCATGCCCTACGATGAACTGTGTTTCCTGGAGCAGCGGCCCCAGAGCCCCACCCTGGAGTTCTTACTCCGGAACAGTCAGAGGACAGTGGGCCAGCTGATGGAGCTCTGCCGGCTCTACCACAGGGCCGATGTGGAGAAGGTCCTGCGCAGGTGGGTGGACGAAGAATGGCCCAGGAGGGGGCGTGGAGAGCACCCCAGGAACTTCTAGCCCTCAGCTCCTTCTCATCGGCCTCTTCGGACCCTGAGCCGAGCACAGGTTAAGGGGCAATGTGAATCTGTTCTTTTTTAAGTTTAGGCAAAGGATGTGGGACAGCGGACCTTAGTTTTCCCCAAAGCCGGTGGTTTTGTGGAGGGTAGGGTATGTTTTTGGTGGCGGATTTTCCTTTAGTTTTGCACATCTGTTTTTATTTAATATTTGAATCTGGAATTGGGAAAAATATGTTGTAGGCTCCTATAGGGACCAGGGCCAAAGCTACAGTCAGAGTGGATTCATGCCATGATGAAAATAAAAGTATCATCTCCCTTAAAAACTGAAGACTGAACTCAGAACTAAAAGTCATCATCCACAAGATCCTTTATGATTAATGACACTCCCACAGCTTAGAAGGAAACCACAGAGAGAAGTTTCCCTTTAGTCTGTTACTCTTTTTGTTGTAAAGTACTTAGGTGAGTTCACAGGCTGCTGGCATCGCGTGGTGATACTCTTCAGGACACATGCCATCTTTCTTATTCAAATACTTGTATAATCTGGGCACTATCAAAGAGGACTTTGCTTGAGTGGTTTTGAAAGAAATGCAAAAATCGATGGTGATTGGGAGGACAGAGTCAGGAGTTAGCAGAGTAATAAGGACCATGGGAAAGGTGTTGACAAAGAGTAGGCCCGGGGCTTCCCTGGTGGCGCAGTGGTTGAGAGCCCGCCTGCCAATGAAGGGGACACGGGTTCGTGCCCCGGTCCGGGAAGATCCCACATGCCGCGGAGCGGCTGGGCCCGTGAGCCATGGCCACTGAGCCTGCGCATCCGGAGCCTGTGCTCCGCAACGGGAGAGGCCACGGCAGTCAGAGGCCCGTGTACCGCAAAAAAAAAAAAAAAAAAGAGTAGGCCCTTTCGGTACCCTTCGCTTTTTAAAAATTAATTTAATATTTACTTTTATGTCTTGTATATCAGGCTGAGTGTTTCACCCCCGACAGAAAGCTCAGTTAAGAAATAAAAACTACCTGGCCTGTGGGTGAAATGCAACCCCGTCTAGCACCTACTACCCCACCTTAAAACAGGGCCCAATAATACTACATAGCACTTTAGCGAAGAAAGAGATATCTTTACTTGTGATACTGGGAAGGAAGCTATGCATTAAAACCTAAATTTCATAGGATTTTAAACCAAGTGAAAAATTGGGTCCAAAGACTATCCCCTGTTCTCGTTTGATGGTTTACTGTGGAAGGTGGTGTGGATGGGAGCGTTTGTTATTAGAGAGAATTTTCTAGGTTTGGGGGGTGGGCAGGGGGAGGGAGAGAGAAGCCTTGGTTTACTTGACGATTTCATAGAAGTGCTATTTGGTTTTGGCTTTAGGTTTAGAAAATTAAGGCACTTTGTCCAATTTGGGAGGATTCTGTTTAAATCCCTGACTAAGTAAAAATGATGAATGACATTGATTGGAGTACAAGGGAGATTAGGATTAACTCAAAAGAAAGTTGTTTCCTAAACCACTGACATTTTTTCCCGCTAGCAGTTACAGCAGTTTTTATGAGGTTGCTGGTATATAGTCAGCCTCACCGTCAAATGTAAACGCTAAACTTGCAAAATTACTATAGAGGCTTACTTATCACTTCTGATTCAGTCAGTGCTAGTCACACCTAGCTCGTCTTGTCAGATTTAGCAGATATGTGTCAGGTTTATCAAAAGATGTAATCAAGGGCTTCCCTGGTGGCGCAGTGGTTGAGAGCCCGCCTGCTGATGAAGGGGACGCGGGTTCGTGCCCCGGTCTGGGAAGGTCCCACATGCCGCGGAGCGGCTGGGCCCGTGAGCCATGGCCGCTGAGCCTGCGCGTCCGGAGCCTGTGCTCCGCAACGGGAGAGGCCACAACGGTGAGAGGCCCGCGTACCGCAAAAAAAAAGAACCAGTTCCTAACATCCCCGACTTGAAATCCAGAAAATGATGAAAATTTTCTCATGGAAACACTGTTGGTGATCAGGCTCTGTAGAATGGGGACAGTTCTATGCTTCACAAATTCGTGAATTAACAGCTTTTTGTGGGCTGACTTGGGGACACTAGTCCCTACTGGCACTGCTTCTGTGGGACATGTTTCCAAAATTCCAAACTTCACATTTCAATTTCAAAACTGACTTTAGGCAGAATTTACCCTCATAGATTTCTTGAACATGGCTCTTGTTAATAAGTGTTAGCTGAACTTATCTTTGAGTTGGATCAAAAACGTTAAGACACAGAATTCAGGTGGATTAGCTATGGGCAGAGCTAAGCATGCTCCTTATCTTTTTTTTTTTTTTTGGCTGCATTGGGTCTTCGTTGCAGTATGCGGGCTTCTCATTGCGGTGGCTTCTCTTGCTGCGGAGCACGAGCCCTAGGGCATGTGGGCTTCATTAGTTGCAGCGTGTGGGCTCAGTAGTTGTGGCTCGCGGGCTCTAGAGTGCAGGCTCAGTAGTTGTGGCGCACGGGCTTAGTTGCTCCGCGGCATGTGGGATCTTCCCGGACCAAGGATCAAACCCATGTCCCCTGCATTGGCAGGCAGATTCTTAACCACTGCGCCATCAGGGAAGTCCTGTCCTTTATATTCAGGAATTACAGGAAAACTGTGAGACCACAGAGCACCACCCACTCATCTCTCCATTTGGCGGCATTAGTTTGAAAGCCCTGATGGCTAATAATTTCCATCACTGGCTATGAAAGCTTAAATTTCTATTATAATTGCATAGGGGACGTGCCAGGGTAGAAGGGATTTTTTTTAATACGGGATTTGATAAAAATGTGGTTTAATTTCACTCTACCATTATTTGCTCATATTGACATCTGTATCTGTTGGCATTTACCTTATGAAAAGTTTTAATTATTAAGAGTATGATATTAGCAGAGAGAGATTTAACCAAACACTGTTTTTAATTAAAGTTCATTCGGATTCTAGACCTTGACCAAATGGAGGATGACTTTTATTTGTGTTACATACAGAAATATCAAAAGTAAATCTCAACTAAAGTAGAACTATAATTCAATTGTGAAATAACCCAAAATAACTTTGTTTAAAGTTAATTTTTAGCAAATAAATACTATACAAGCATAAATATGCTGTTATTGGGTTGGCCAAAAAGTGCCTTTAGTTTTTAAGTAAAAATAAAGGACACATTTTTCATTTTCACCAAAAACTTTATTGAACAACATATTCACCCTTTTGTTTTACTACCTTCTGCCATTTTTTAGGCAACTTCATAATTCCATCTTCCCCAAACTTTTTATCTTTTTGAGCAAAGAACTGTTCAGGTGCCTTTTACAGTCTTCCAGGGGATTGAAGTTTTTTCCATTAAGAGAATTTTGTAAAGACCTAAATAAATGGGGCTTCCCTGGTGGCACAGTGGTTAAGAATCCGCCTGCCATTGCAGGGGACACCAGTTCGATCCTTGGTCTGGGAAGATTCCACATGCCGCGGAGCACCTAAGCCTGTGCGCCACAACTACTGAGCCTGCACTTTAGAGCCCGTGAGCCACAACTACTGAGCCCACACGCTGCAACTACTGAAGCCCACATGCCCTAGGGCCCATGCTCCACAGCAAGAGAAGCCACCGCAATGAGAAGCCCATGCACCACAACAAAGAGTAGACCCTGCTCACCGCAACTAAAGAAAGCCCACACGCAGCAATGAAGACCCAACGCAGCCAAAAATAAATAAATAACTATATGAATTTAAAAAAAAAAAGACCTAAATAAATGGAAATCTGAAGGTGCAATATCTGGTGAATACAGTGGATGAATCAGAACTTCCCAGCCAAGCTGCAACAGTTTTTTCCTGGTCATCAAAGAAACATGCGGTCTTGCGTTATCCTGATGGAAGAGTATGCATTTTCTGTTGACTAATTCTGGACGTTTTTTGTCGAGTGCTGCTTTCATTTGGTCTAATTGGGAGCAGTACTTGTTGGAATTAATTGTTTGGCTTTCCTTAAGGAGCTCATAATAGAGGACTCCCTTCCAATCCCACCGTATACACAACATCACCTTCTTTGGATGAAGGCCGGCCTTTGGTGTGGTTGGTGGTGGTCCATTTCGCTTGCCCCACGATCTCTTCCATTCCACATTGTTGTACACTATCCATTTTTCATTGCCCGTCACAATTTGTTTTAAAAACGGAACGTTCTCATTACTTTAAGTAGAGAATCTCATGTGGAAATACAGTCAAGAAGGTTTTTTTCACTTATGTGGAACCCAAACATCAAAGTGATCGACATAACCGAGCTGGTGCAAATGATTTTCAGCGCTTGATTTGGATATTTTGAGTATGTCGACTACCTCCCGCGTGGTATAATGTTGATTGTTCTCAATTAATGTCTCGATTTGATCGCTATCAACTTCAATTGGTCTACGTGACTGTGGAGCATCGTCCAGCGAGAAATCTCCAGCACGAAACTTCTCAAACCACTTTTGACATGTTCGATCAGTCACAGCACCTTTTCCCTACACTGCACAAATCTTTTTGTGCATTTCCATGCATTTTTACTTTTCTTGAAATAGTAAAGCATAATATGCTGAAAATGTTGCTTTTTTCCTTCCATCTTCAATATTAAAATGGCTACACAAAAATTCACCAATTTTGATAATTCTTTTTTAAATGCACGCTGATATGACAGCTGTCACATACTATCTAACAAAATTGTTTCGAATGAAGTTAAAGACAGCTAAGTGCTACTAGAGCCATCTTACGGAAAAAACCGAACGAACCTTTTGGCCAGCCCGATACTTTACAAAGGCAAAAGTGGAAAGAAAGGAAATTATTTAAGTTCATTAATACTTAAGAGCTTTGGGCTTCCCTGGTGGTGCAGTGGTTAAGAATCCGCCTGTCAATGCAAGGGACACAGGTTTGAGCCCTGGTCCGGGAAGATCCCCACATGCTGCAGAGCAACTAAGTCCGTGCGCCATATCTACTGAGCCTGCGCTCTAGAGCCTGCGAGCCACAACTACTGAGCTCACATGCCACAACTACTGAAGCCCGCACGTCTAGAGCCCGTGCTCCACAAGAGAAGCCACTGCAATGAGAAGCCTGCACACTGCAACAAAGAGTAGCCCCCACTCGCCACGACTAGAAAGCCCGTGCACAGCAACGAAGACCCAGTGCGGCAAAAAACAAATAAATTTATATTTAAAAAAATACTTAAGAGCTTTGCTTATTATACTGTCTGTAGGGATCCATGTTAAATTGACCACATTATAAACTAAACTGCTTCTGATGAGGTTCTTTTGCTATTAGAAGGATGAAATCTCTTTAGCTAAGTTCCGAGATACACTCTTTTAAACAAAACTCCCATCTGCAATGTTTTGATGTTATGTGATGAGGCTCTTTGTAATAAGCATTTTATTTGGTTGCAATAGAAAATTTCTACTTGCAAGGGAATGGAAAGCAAAGCTGTTTTAGACACCACACACCCCCAGGACATATACACACAGAGGAAGACTCAAGTGGATGTAGACAAAAATAAAGCACAGGGCTTCCCTGGTGGCGCAGTGGTTGAGAATCCGCCTGACAATGCAGGGGACACGGGTTCGTGCCTCGGTCCGGGAAGATCCCACATGCTGCGGAGCGGCTGGGCCCGTGAGCCATGGCCGCTGAGCCTGCGCCTCTGGAGCCTGTGCTCCACAACGGGAGAGGCCACAACAGTGAGAGGCCCACATACTGCAAAAATAAATAAATAAAGCACATGGTTATTTAAAATTATAAGATTTAAAATTGTTAGGGCTTCAATTGTATGC